GAGGCTCAAAACTCGATTCATGTGTCCGGGAAACCTCCTTTAACCCTCTGGAGTCGTCATAATAATGAGACGCAACAGTAATCCTAACCCCTAACTCTGTGTTTTACAGAAAAATAAAAGAAAATAAAAAGAAAGACAAGATTTTTACTACTATTGTACTGATAGCACAGGGTTAGGGTTACTGAAGGCTTGTAGCTGTATTTGCAACCCTCGACCGCGCACTTGTCCCTGATCCCTCAAGGAGTCTCGGTGGACATCGGGCGCCGTCGTCACCTTGACTCAACAGTTCCTCCTCAGGGTGTCTGTCTCGCCTCTCTGTCACGGCACAGTGAGGCGAGGGGACTAAAAATAGCTTCAGGTTGTATCTGGGCAGCAGCTGGCCAGGACTGAATGCTCTTTAATATCAATGGTAATTGGCACAATTAAGAAAATAGGCTCTGGATGAGGCTCTGTAGCATGTACATTAACATTAGCTTTTGTTCTTCAGCTTAAAGGGAACAAAGCAAGAGCAAAGGAGCAGGTTAGGGGAAAAAGAAAGATGCTAAGATGGTGAGGCGGTGAAAAATGACCTTCGGGGTGTGAGGGCCTTATTTGACTCCTGAAAATTAGGAGAAAGCTGTTAGTTTACAGCAAAATGTGTTTTAATGTGGCTTTTGGGGACCAAAACTAAAAACTGGCAGCATTTATTTGCATTTTTACCCCCTCCTCCCATTAGTCAAATAATCAAGTTGCAGTAATGACCAACATGCACGACTCTCTTTGTTCAACTAATTGGAAACGTCTGCAGGTCAGCGCTGCAGTAATTCCCTGCAATTTCCAGAGACATGTCAGGGAACAGAAAAGCCGGCCTCTTCTCGACCTTCCGCGCCATTTGAATTAAAATGTGTGGCATTGTTCTGCAGCTCGCGGTCATGACACCTCAGAAGAAAAACAACACCATTATACTGTTCATTATTAAGGACCACGCAAGACAAAACAACAACAACAGCATCAACAGCACCGGGGCTGATGAAATTTCTCCACGGATATCAGACAGGCTGAGCGTGCCAAGACGGGTTTTGATTTTATTATTTCTTTTTTTCTTCCTTTCCTTTCCTTTTTTTTTTTAAACAACAGCACATAGTCTAGTTTTTGAGGAAGCCTATTACTGTCCTCCCACACACACCCATCAGTAGCAGGCGCACCACGACCTCAATAACCCTCCACACACATATAGAGGCTGGCAGAGTCCATTTAAGACTCTGTAAATGCACCAGAGCACTACTGCCATCAAGTGGCTGCTTTAGCACACAAACGCTGAGCACCAGTGCAGAAATACCTCAGTGTGAATGCTGCACACTTGCACAGATGAACTATGAAACATTAAAGTATTTAAATCAATCACAACACCCCTCATTTCAATAGAAAAATAGTCATATAGATTACACTGGAATCATGTGGCCTTTTACCTTTGGGGTACTTTTTACTGGAGTAGATTTCTGAATAAACGTTTCTACTTTTACTTACGTGAAACCTACTGCAATAAAAATTGCACTAATTTTAGCCACATTAAGGCATGCTCCTTAGAGGAATGTTTGGTTTTTCAGGTGATGTGGTCTTTCTGGCTTCATCAAAATGTAGATCATCTCTAACTCACTCAGGGCGTCAGGTCAGCAGCAGATGTTGAGGTGATGGTTTTCAGCCGGATTGAGTGTGGCGTATCCACTCTAGGTTGGATTAGTTGCTTTCGCAAGACGAGGAGTTTTTGTATCGTTGGGTCTTGATCATGAGCAAAGGGGAGGTGTAATTTTTGATTTACTGGTGGGGTTATAGTGCTGTGCAAAAGTCTTGAGCCACCCCTCATTTCTTTATACTCGGACTTTCCTGTCATTGTTTTTTTTTAAAGCGGCCTTGAGCAATGGCTCTCGAGACTTTCCGGTGGTCTTTTAAAGTTATTCTTTGGACATTGGCTGCTTTTCACTTATTTTCAGTCCAGTCCTTTTACCCGACCAGATTCAGAGAAATGACTTGTTGATTGTTAAGCCGTTTAACACTGACCTATGAGTCATTTAAGTATTTTTTAAAAGGCTCCTAACTTAACAGACATTCACAATTTGACTCACTCTCCAGTTTGTGTCTTTAGAGAAATTTGGGGCTTATTCTCATATCTGGTTTTTGATTCAGTGCAGTTCATATACATTAAAAATACCCCAGAATATTTCAAATTACTCAACACCAAACACACCTGTGAAAGAAAAGCAATATAAGGCTACTCATTTACACACTCATTTACATCGAGTTAATTAAAACTGGACGATTACTGTAATAAAGGAGTGATATTGGCCTTTTCCAAAAGTCCTTTAATTGACCGCACATCATTACAGTACATCGAAAAGCTTCGTCTTTAAGGCTTTCCTACACATACGGCACAAAAACACTCAATACTGAAAACTATTGGCATGAAAATAAAAGACAGGAAGCAGAGAGCATGTCAGCTGTTGGCAGTGTAGTGTAGCACAGTAAAGGGGTCTTTGCTCAACATCGCATCATAAGAAGTTAGAATAATAATAATGATTAAGAAGAGGCACTTCTTCATCACAGCTCCTTCAGTGAGCTCTGACGAGAATTAACAGACTCAGCAGTTCCTCCCACGAGACTTCAACAATCTGATTTGTCAAGGAGCAACAAAGGTAGAGGATGTAACGTCTTTATGTGGACCAATTCTGCTTTTCCTACATTTTTGCATCAATCTTCTGTTCCAGTGGCCAAAACCCACGTTAAACATGGACAAAACGTATGTACAAGCAACCCTTTTCAGCCGCAAACTCCAAACGCCATCTTATCAGTTCTTTTGCTCTTTATGATATCAGTAAGAGCAGACGTCCTTACATATTGTCATCCCTACTGGGGATACACTAGGTTTGAGTGTGGGATGCTGCAATGCCTTCAAATCACATCAGGAGTGTTTTAGAAATGTAATCTTCTGGGTCTTTTATTTTGAAACTTTATCTGATTTCTACGCCCGAGCATAGAGACACTTCTGAAACACGTCTGCTGGAATCAAAGCGCTTAAGTGAGCGCAGTGTATTCCCAGGCTGGTCAAAGGGATGAAGTGAGACCCATTTTAAGATAAATATGGATTATCTTGAACTGTGACTCATACAAAGCTACTCTAGTAGAGTCCAAGAATGAAAATATTCTTCCCATTTCCAGCTCTGTCCATTTTTAAAGGTACCCACAACCTGAAACGGCACTGAAAAAAATAAATTAAATGTATTTAAGGAATTTGAAAAATACAGTTTTAAGTATTACAGCGATTCCCAACAGACAGACCACAGACGTAACCAAATTATTGTAAGCTTATGTAAAAAATACATTAACAACCAACAGTACTTGTTTTTGTAATAAACAGTTTTTCAGATAGTTCTTCTAACCACATTATAGCAATATCAGTGTCAACTGTCATATGAGGGGCAAACTAATTTACCATCCCCCTGAACGTGACGGAGCTCGTTCTGGTTTTTTTTTTATGTCTCGGTTATTCGCTTTATTCCCGCGACATTTGAGACATGAAATATGGAGATTGTGTTAACACCACACATGATAATCTTGCGAATAATACGGTGCCATTAACTACCTGAACTGTAATTATATTTCATGTGGTTGCCTTTGCATTAACCTGAATCATTCTCATTGTACAGTTATGGTTACAGACTGTCTACACTCATTTTATGCTTGAATGAATTAAACCCAATTTTAATAAGCACCAGTTTATTATTTGCATGTCAGAATCAGAGACGTTCTCACAGGAGAAATCATCTATATCTTCAAGAAATTTCACAAATTAATTTTTACTCACGCACTGTGAAGGTGTGCCATCACAGGCTGTGCATATTATTATTATTTAAAATTTTTATCACCAAAGTATTAGAAAATCAGTAAAAATCAAAGTTATTGTATTTTTTCTTGTCCCTAGAATCACGTTCTCTTTAATAAACTTTGTGTATTTTTACTGCAACTAGATTTGCCTGATTTTTATGCACTTTTTCACCAATATATTTGCAGTATTTGCAATTTGATTCATTATTTTATGCAACTGTTTTATTTCGGTTTCCTTTTTTTGTGCAACAGTGGAAACGTAGGGGAAGAACACAAAAAAAAAGGAAAACTTTGGTGAAAGTGTGCACATGTAATGTATAATTTACTGTTTGTTATTTACCTCTAAATTTACATTGTTGTGCCTCATCATGACTCTACAAAGACAAGGAGAAAGGAGAGGTCATTTCTATGAGGAGGGAAGAGAAAGGTGACATTTTTTTAAATTACAGAAATCTTTGGGGATCGTAGAAAGAGCTCCAGAACAACAGACATTAGTTAACTTTTAGAGAAACATTAAAATGATACATTAACTTAAATGGGTTAAACTTCCCCAAGAAAAAAATAAACACTGATTTTTAGAAAAGCAGGCCCTCAGTAGAAAAGATAGCCTCCGTTTTATGTGCATTAAAAAAATGTTTCTGATTTCATTTATATACTAAGTAATCACAGGTTGAATTTAAACTTGTTGTAAAGCTTTTCTGTTTGCTGTATTTCTCATTCAGTATGTGGTAGTTTTCACGGTTAGTTACTTATGCTGCTGCTTCAAATTAAAAGCACTCAGCCAGACACAACTGAGAGGCTTTTATTGTGAATTTAGCTCCACGCATTCGAAGCGTGGCCATGAAAATGATCTACGGCACATTCAGATTGAGAACTCTTGTATTACAGTAGAATTAACAAAACAAAACAAAAAAAAAATCCCTGCCACAAGTTAAAATCCCATGAAGTCATTTGTGCTGTCGTCCAGTCAAAGCTGCACGTTGTATCATTACTTCTTTTAAAAACACTTCAACAGTTTTCTTCCCATTTTAAACGTAAATTAAGTTAAATAACATATCAAGAGGCACATTTACAAATGAAGGAATTTCCTTCACAATCCACTGGAAGGTGTTGCAGTGCGCAGAGATCAGTTTCAAACCTGCTGCAAAAACCATCCATTAATGAAGTTTAGAAACCACTCCACCTCTAGAACTAAACCATTCCCAGCTTGCTTCCAGTATTCAAGGATAATCCCCCATTTCACAATCATATGTACACACTACACTAGCTTTTAGAATAATCTGGACACAGTGTTTATAAACTGCAGAGGAATCACTTCACCACACAATAGGATTTTAACACTGAACTAGAGGACAGATGAACTTGTTTAGACAGGTCACTTTGCAGTAATGAAACACACTGGGGTTAAAGCCCTCTGTGTGTGCATTCAATAGTTTTTAAATGAACACTCAATGTGGGTTTTCTTCTGTGAAGACCGTATTGTCTTTGGGCGCTCCTCCGTCTGACGCAGGGTGCGTTTGGTCTTTGTCAGAGTCTGTGTGTGAGGTGTGGGCGGTGTCTGCTTGCGTGGGAGTTTCCGTGGTGGATATCGGCGGGTGTGTGCCGTCATCGCTCGAGTTTCTGTGCGAAGTTGCCACCGCCTCGTACTCAGCCACCGCCCGCTCATTATGCACCTAGCAACATGAGAAACAAAAACATTGAGGGCGGCTGGCAAGAAGCCAGTTGAACATGTGGCACAATTGCCGAACAACAGTTTAGGTTACATCTGCTAGATCATGTCTAACTGCTTCCAACAAAATGCTAGCAGGAAAAACCTGCCTGAGCTGTTACTAGCCAACAAAGACATGGATACAAGGGTGCTAATGCTAACACTAGCTGTTTACATAACATGTTAACTATGACAAGTATTTAAGAATTGGGTAACCTTCCCTGAACTTCCTCTGCTACTCTGACTGCCTCCAGGTCATCTTCAGACCTCAGCTCTCTCGTCCTGGCTCTGTTCCAGGCGCTCTAAGCAGCCTGCACGGTTCAGGCTGGACGGCAACATCGGTGCAGTCTGAATGTGTTTGTCGGTGGTTAATGAATAAAAAGATTTCCCGCACTGTTAGCGAGGCTGCACGACTGCAACGACACCTCTGTGCTTGAATTTTAAAGATTTGAACCAAATTTCAACCTCGATGAGTTTCTCGAATGATGTTAAAAATATTATATAGAACATGTCATTATTGATGTTGTTTCTACATTTTAGAGCCATAAGCAATGCTCAGTGTGTTCAAATATGACTACATTAGACATTTATTCTGACCCAGGAGGAAAAAAACTAGAAGATGGGTCTGGTACCAAAATGTAGGTAAAAATGAGACCCTTCAGATGCTAAAGACCCTTTAAAGTTCACCCGAAACTTTAAAGGGTCTTTTTGATATTTTCTCTGTTAAATCATTGGAAAACAGATCGAACCTCCAGGATACCAGTTCTGGTTCCTGTTCCTCTGCTGGACGCACATTAGAATGTTGTCATTTAACTACAGATGATGCTTTTCCATGAGATCAGATTTTTGGCTGTGGATGTAAAATTGATTTGGCTTCAGTTTTTAAAAAGGGCATAAATGTTTTTTTAAATAAGTAAATCTCATTTACTTGAATGTATTACAAATTGTGCATCTGTATGTATATTGAAGGCCTGTAATCACCAAATAGTCATAGTATACGTAACTTCATTAAATAGCCTGAAGTTATTGTACAAAAACGACAAAAGTGGCTCCTAGATGTGAGCTTGTGTTTACTCCCAGAGCTTACTGCAGTGTTTTACAGTTTCATAACTCCAGTATTGCAAACAGACTCTCACTCCCACACTATTTAACTTGTAAAAAAGACATTGACTTGTAACTAAAAATGCTAGCCCTTCATCATAAGCAGCAGCTGCGATCACACAGCCACTGAATACTGCACACAGGTTTAATGTAACTTAAATTTATCAAGGACAGATTAAGAAAATTTAATGAAATGCTGTCATATGATAGTAAATATTGTGGAAAAATGATTAGAAGTAGGAGCTTTAAACCTCCCTAAAAGCCGGTGAGGATACGAAAATGAAGAAATTTAACTGCATTAAAAAAAAGGATCAAAATATTAAACAAAGCTAGCTTTTCATTATAAAGTAAATATATGTCCACCATATGTTTCCATTATTTTTAACATCATTGGTGTTTGTTTTCGCAGATGTGGGTGTTTTTTTTTTTTTGCAGTTTTACAGATTTTTTTTTGTTTATATCTGTTTGTAAAAATATTTTAACTGTTAAAATTGAATTTAGTGATACAAAAGCTGTTATAATTTTCATCCTACATTTGAAAATTGTAGGATGAAAGCAGCTTTAATGGAAATCTTGTGTTTTATCCCCTTATAGGGGATTTACTGCTCAGCATGGCTTTTATTTTTTTTTATTATTTTACTGTGTTTAAACTAAACTCAGAGCAAAGTGCAGCTACGAGTCATATTTAATCTTCAGATCAAATTGATTAAATAAGACTGACAAAATCTGATTTATTTGCTTGCACGGCTGCTACATTATGGAAAAAAAATTTTTTTTTTCCCCATAGCAAACATTACATCATTTTATCTGCAATTGTAATTATTAACTTAAACATTACACAGTTATTGTGGTGTAATCGCAACAAGGAAATGGGAATAAATTTAATTCTGTTTTCCCCCCCTCTTTTGGATAGTATAATTCTTCATAAAAACTGTATGCATGGTGATTTGTTTTTATAACTCATCTATCTGGATACTAAAGTTAGAGACAGCACATCCAAGTAGTTTATGCTGTGGTTTTGGTGAGTTATATTCCAATTAGTCTGTCACTTAGCACAATTAATAGGTTGTGTGATGCACCCATATAGTCTATGGTAATAAAAGCTTGTTAGCATTAGTTGAGAACGCAGTGTTTCACTGTTTGGCCAAGATGCCAACATTGAGTCCCAAAACAAACAGGTGATATTTATGTTATTTTTTTCATTATTTTTATTTGAAAGGGACTGTGTACAATACTAACATAAATGTTATTTAAGCTACTGTACTAGAGTGAGCTTAAAGCTCATTTGCATCTGCAATACCTTGGCAGGTCACATTTTTACCTACTTTTATGGTCACACAATAAAAAGTCTAAATTGCTAAAACAGTATGTGAGTGAAAATGCACCAACGTTAAGAAAATAAGCATGCGATTTTTATAACACAAGAGAGCTGCAAAGCAAAAAAAGAAGGCAAATTTTATTTTATGCATATCATCTTCTTTTCTCAGCAAAGAAAATGATATAAGTATTTTTTAACTATGAAAATTATTAAATGCGTTTTGGCCAGAAAGTCTATAACAGTTGTGTTTTAAAGATATATTATATTTAAAAACAGAATATATTGTTTTGGGAAATTCTGCAGACACCAGTAGTGCCATCAAAGCAACAAAAGACTGAAGTAGCTGCTTTACCGAGCACAGATTATCTAAATACCTCATCAGTCAGGGGTAAAGCTCAGATCAGCTCCCGGCCACAAAAGCAGACCTCAGGCCCCACCCCCAGAGGGTGGGGTTGGAGGTGACATCACCGGGGAGAAACCCATACATGTAAGCGCATCACATGATGTCAAGAGTCAGGTGTGGGCGGTTCACAGACACACAAAGACGTACATGCATGTACACGCCCACACATACACAGGTATGCCTGAGTCACTGTTATCACCCCATGCATGAGAAAACACACACAGAAAATCCTGAACTACACCCCCACCTCACAGACGCGCACACACACACACACAGTAGTTTTCCATCAACCTTTGCACGCAACACCATCTCACCTTTCTTCAGTGTGTGTGGGCAGCCAGTCAGGAGGAAGTGTCAGATTAATGAGTTAAAGCATGAAGAAGAGACATTTCAGACACAACAGATGGAAACAGTGAGTTACTATTACACAATGCCTCATAATACAGCAGCTACAGCGGCATGTGGCTATTAAAAAAAATTACACACCGTGTAAAATGTCCACAAATCAAAAGCCTGCCCTGATTTAAATCGTGCTGATGTCTGTAACTGACCGAGCTCACTTCTAACCGTTTTCTTATTTTTATTGGATCGCCAGTAAATTCCTCATCAGGAATATCCTCTTTTAACCAGACAGGCTGGCTGCTATTTTTAGATCTCTTCCTGAAAGTCACAGTCTGACCACTTACACACTACAAAAAGCAACTCGTGCCTCGGGCTGACCCGGATTGCATCTAATAATGAATGCCAGGTCTCGGGCAGTTTTCAGCTTAAAAGTCATCAGTTTAGAAGCATTAACGCTGGCGTTTGGCTATGTTGAGTTAAGGACTTTGTTCAGTTCTCACAAAAGCAACAGGGTATAGCAGATGGTGATGATAAATCATGCAGATAAGATGCTGTAGGTTTGAAAATGTGCTAGAACAGGAACAAAGATCACCCGTGAGGGGAAGAAACATGAAAAAAAAACATGAATAAATAAAACAATCAGCACAAGAAGCTCTGACAGGCTTCAGACTTTTGGGTTCTTGTGAGTTTTTAAACATGTAAACCGATATACAGAAAATATAATTTTGAAATTTGCACTGTTAAAATTTTTTATACAAGTTAATTCTATAAGAATTCGTAAACTCTGAGGAGACGAGCTGCAGAAGTCTGAAGAAAATCAGGGAACAGGACATAAAAGAAGTTGAAGCTAAGATAGTTTAATGTAGTTACGAAAAGACTAAGCTCAATTAAAAAATAATAATTAAAAGGTGTAGTTTTAGTTTTGTATTTTCTTGACCCTCCAGGTCAATGTGAAAATTAATAATAAGCACTGCTGAAAAACTGCTGGATTATACTTTCTTTGTTTTATTTGACAGCCAGTTGCTGGCTTCATACAGACACCCATGTCCAACTGTTAGGTTACTTCAGTTAAACTACTTTGAATATGCCTGCTGTAGGCTCAGATGCACTTTAACAGGCTGATTTGGATGATAATGACAATCCTTTTGGTTTCATTCTTGAGGATCAAACCATTTGAGATCGATCCTAAAATTGAAACCCAATTTTTCTGCTCAGATTTCTTTTGGACTTTTTAACCTGTGTTTAGCTGTTAAAAACACTTTCAGTCGAAAATAAGTTTGCTTAAACATTTCATCTCAACATTTAAAGTCAATGTCATGAAGCGTGGATAACTTTCATTAGTGGACTATAGGGCACATTTGAAAAGCACAGATGCAGAATTTAAACTATATTAAAGCTATTAACACCCCTAATAGCAGCATTCATATTAGCAGACCTGCATGAGTGTACGATATTAAACATGCAGAGTGTTGCCTCTATAATGCATTTGTGTACCTCGCAGCATTAATGTTCACACATTAAAGCCTCCTCTTAGACAAAGATTGGCTCTCTGTGCTGCCTCCAAACTCCAATCAAGAGTCAAAAACTTGGGAATGGCTCTAAGCTAAAGAACAGCAGTAACAGCAGCTTAAGTAGCCCAGATTACTGGTTGTTCAACATATTTTGAGAAAGCTGCTGGTGATAATGCATAGCTACAACACAGATGATTGTCTGTAAAGCTCTGCGTAGGACAACCACGCAGGTCGCTCCCAATGCCGACTGCCACTGCACTGAACACAGGTCTCGCTCACCTCCTGCCCCGTGTACCAGGTTTGCCTCCTTGTGACTTTAGTTCCAGTTTTGGGAAATGCACAAAATTGAAGGATCAGTGTTCTGATGCAGTGGAGGACATCCAGCTCACATTACAGAGCCACAAGTACACACGGACGTAACAGGCCCTTCTGTACAAAGCAGCTACACTGAAAACAGTCTGAGAACTCAAGTCTGATCTGATTAGAGATCAGCTGAAGATAAAATCAGGTGAGGCTTTTGATATTCAGGTATCTGCTCTCAGAACTTTCTGATCACCCCTCGTGTACACACTAATACATTTATCATGTTTGATTCAGCGCACAATAACTTCACTCTTACTTTGAAAGTCCGGGTCAACCAGGTCAGGTTGCTGCTGTGGCATAGAGTTGTCTCAGGTTTTATTCCCTGCTTATTCTAACTGAAACTCCACCTTCTGGGATGTGTGGGGCTGACCTCCAGCTTGACAGAACAAGGACTAGCATCACCAGCTGCACTGGAGATGGTGGAGGAGTACGTCCATGAAATGAAGACTACAGCAGCAGCTGATTGGTGCTCCACTATTTATTATCACTAATTAAAGACGGTATCATTTAGTAACTAATTTCACAAAGTGTTTAACATCTACCTGCCTCACCTGCCTCCTGCCTCACCATCGCAACAAAAATGATCCAATTCTCTGGGAAACACATATTTGTTATATGGATGTCAAATTCTCAACTATGCAATCACTGATTTTAGTTTTTCTTTAATGTGGAAATCTAAACGCTTCAGCTCACCTCACTGCTGACAGAGCTGTCGCTACATTTAGCCACTTTTCTGACCCTTTTTGCTTCGTCTTTCCTAAAAAGACTGAGCTAAAAGTCTATACACTCTCTGAAGCCTCTATACTGAGGCTTCAGAGAGTGACAGACGTGCTGCGGCTTTTAGATTCTGTCAGTATAAAGTACCTTGAGGCCCCCGATACTGCGATATGGCGCTCTACAAATAAAACTGTATTAAATTGACTGCAGAAGACAGAAAACTATTCAGGAGAGTCCCAGTTTAATATTCCCACAACTTGAACCAAACATAACATTACTGTAAGTCTTCCGAAATGACCAGTTCTCACATTTTTATCTCCTAAATCAGATTTTTGTTTTTCTTTTCATGTGCTCATGACTAAAACTCTGCTTGGCTACTGTCTGTTCACCTGCAGTGGGTGAGGGTCTCGAGTGCTGTTCTTTGCCAGGCTGATCATCTCTTTGATCTGGACAAAGGCGAAGGCAATGGTGACCCAGGGGGCACCGGAAAGCATCCAAGCCGGTCTGTTCGGGTCCTCCTGATCCTCCTGATGTTTAGTCTTCCTTACTGGCAACAAGGGAGCCTGTCGCACTGGGGCCGGGCTGCCGTCGGGTGCGTGACTCTGCACCAAGTCGATGGTGGCGATCGGGACTGGACTGGAGGGCACAGGGATGTTCTCTGCTAGCATTTTGTCCTCTGGAAGAAGGTGCAGAGGGAAGAAACACGAAACGACGGGCACAAAAATATAGATTTTAAGGATCTGAATGTGTATCATGTCACAGCAAAAGCATCAGTTAAAACAGTTTGTTCTGCTAATCTAGAGCAGGGTATTCCAGACATACTTTTCCAGTTTTTCCTCCACCTCTCTTGGTCACTCTCCAGAGCTCATGACCACCGGTGAGGGTTAGAATGTAGACCTACTGGTAAATCAGGAACTTTCCTCTCGATCAAAGCCCTCTCATTACCACATTATCTGTAAAACTGCACCAATCCACGTCACTCATGAACATCCTGACACACTTAGACCCAACCCCAAGGGACAAACCCAGCAAAAGCAGTGGAAACATGACCAGCCATGATTCAACATCCGGCTCAAAATATCAACAGGAAGCACAGCTTTTGTTTACTGCGGATCACATAGTTTCAGCTTTAATTTTTAAGCTGCTCCTTTATCCACAAGGGGCTAAGGTCAAGGCGTTAGTGTTTCCTCCTGGGATCAAACCAGGAATCTCACTTGTTAGGCAAATCTGTACACCTCAACACTATGGAGCTACTTTTCATCGATTTCCTTTTAGAAGGTGATTATTATGCTGTGTTCTTACACTTCTTATTAGACAAGATTAGTTAATGCTTTAGTTTTCTAAATATTGCAGACACTATCAACCTGCAATCTACTTAGTGACATACAAAACAAGCCTAATGTGCATATCTGCGATCTTGTTTATTTGTATGCATTTTTCCCACCTTTGCCTTCAGTGTCTCCGGTCAGACACTGGATGAAGGAGAAGATGAGGAGGATGACGAGGGAGGCCATGCCGATTCCTCTGAACGTCTCTGCAGCACCTGCAGAGCAAACAGAGAAACCATTAGCAAGGCGAACTCATATTTTTCCTGTGTTTCCTACCCTAAAGCAGCTCAAATAAACCACTTACACTACACCGGTACTGCATTTAAACATTAGCCAGTGTGCTGCAAGGCAATTTCCGCCTCACGTGCTCGTTTCATACCAAAATAATTGACGAATACTCCTCCGACCATGGCTCCGCAGCCGCGACCCAGCCCGAGGTGCAGGCCCTGCAGAATTCCCTGTGCCGACGTCCTGAGAGCCGGCGGGACCGCGGCGCTCAGGAAGGAGATACAAGCTGCCCAAACTGAGGCATGGGTCACACCTGGAGGACAAACAGGGACATACAGAGGGTCACAGCTGAATCTGGATCTAAATAAACTCAAGCATCCTGATGTAATCAATTAACTCCAACATCTCAGCTTTAGAGTCATTACATCAGCAGCATGTGTTGAACAAATACAGGCAGAGCCTCTGAAATTATTATGTTTTTTAACAATTGGCCAGATTTTCAACTTAAAAACACTTTCAGTCGAAAATAAGTTTGCTTAAACATTTCATCACATTTAAAGTCAATGTCATGAAGCTTGGATAACTTTCATTAGTGGACTATAGGGCACATTTGAAAAGCACAGATGCAGAATTTAAACTATATTAAAGCTATTAACACCCCTATTAGCAGCATTCATATTAGCAGACCTGCATGAGTGTATGATATTAAACATGCAGAGTGTTGCCTCTATAATGCATTTGTGTACCTCGCAGCATTAATGTCCACACATTAAAGCCTCCTCTTAGACAAAGATTGGCTCTCTGTGCTGCCTCCAAACTCCAATCAAGAGTCAATAACCTGCAGATATTGACTGCTGCATTCTTTCTTATTTATTTTTCTATTGTTATCTATTATCTAAATCTATTTCTAATTCACCTTTTTCTTCCTGGCCCTTGAGTAAGTGAATTGCTCTACTGTGGAATTAAAAAAAGTCTATGAAAATTTGGCTTTTCATGCATTGCAAGGTCAAATATCACAAGTTAAATTATTTGTCCTTACTTCTCCACTGCCAAGTGTCAACCATTTGTGGACTCTGGAGAATAAATAAATGCTGACATATATGTTTAATTAACCTGCAGTGACAGTTTTATTTCTTCACCTCAGCTCAGCTTCCTCTCTGCAGACCAGCTAATCGCATCGAGGTAAAAAGCAGGCTGCCTCAGCCCTCCCTGTTTTTACACCACGTGTTGCAAATGCTAAATATATTTTTTGACTTTTTGAAATTGTGTCATACTCAGCGTAACGCTGGACCAACAGGTGGAGCACTCAGAACTGAAGCCCCGATGCAGCTTTCACGTGTTTATTCTGCGAGGCAGAGCTGTTTTCTCAGGGCGGATGTCTCATGCAAACCAGTGAGCCACAGAGAGCAGCTGTATACACTGCATTTCTCACCTTACTTTGCATTGCTTAAATAAAGTCAAAGATAAATTAGAAATACAGTGTAAATAATCTGGGATGCCAAATCATATGGTGTGATGGGAATATAAATATAAAAAAAATATCAAATTAATATATAATAAAAATATTTTAATATTGAATAGAATATATATAACTATTAAAAACAGAAAATTAAAAAACAAAAACACAAAATAAAAAAAAAAATTAAAAAAATAAAATTAAAAAAAAAAAAAAAAAAAAAAAAAAAAAAAAATAAAAAAAAAAAACAAAAAGCAAATAAAAAAAAAAAAATAAATGAAAGCAAAAAACAAAGCCGCGGCGAACCGAACCGTGACTTTACACTAAACGAAAAGCGAAAACGAAACTGACTGAGTGAAGACTGAAAAGCTCATTAATGTGAACATCAGAAAGACTGAAGACAGATTACTGCTAAGCGTTCTGTAAACCGCAGCAGCTCCCGAACAGGAAACAAACCGCTCATAAACAGGACCTATGACATAATATAATCAGTCTTTTCCTTTTTAAAACTGATCAGCCCTGTTTTGAGAAAGCTGCTGCTTGCACAGAAAAGCCAGCGTTCATTATCCGGGCTGAAAAAAGTGACACATGGTTTGCAAGTTTGCATTCGACTGATTTGTGACTCCGAGAAAGAGGACTGTTTCTCTGTTATTTTCAAGTCCGGCAGCGCCCTGCACATGTGCTTTCTGACAACACCTCTATTGATATCCTCTCTGTATGTTGCAATGCTGCTACAATAAAGGAAATAACAGAGCAATACAGATCGTGCAGTTGAGAATCCGGGCCGTTTCCCTTCCCTTCAGTTTTTTTCTCGTACTTTACAGCTTTCTGTCATCTGCAGCAGCCCTGACAGCCTTCTGCTAACCAGCGATACTGTAGGAAGAGAAACGCTGTCTGATAAGGCGCCATGCTGGACAAACAAAGCCATTTCCTGGCCTGCCCTGTCCTCTGGGTCCTGAAGTCCTAATACTCCCTGCAGACACAGACAGAGAAAGGGTTACCTTGAAGGATCTCCATGGGCAGGACGATCCAGGCGTTCTCCAGGTAGGAGATGTACAGGTAGCGAGCTGTGTTGCAGGCCAGCCCGATGTACAGCACTCTAAGGAAGGAAAGAGAAGAAGCATGAGACTTGTTACCAACTCAATCCTGAGCTGTTGTTTCTTTGCTTTAGTGATGTTTGGTAAGACTGATATGCATTTTTAAATCCTAATAACATCTTTCCAAGGACTGAAGAAATGTCTTCAACTGTTTCTATCCTGTAAGCATCCCAATTCTTAGTTTTACTGCAAGTATGACCATTAGGATGAACTGGTTGTGATAAGGCCACACCTTCAGTCAGTATAATCGTTCATCATTTGAATCTTTGTTTAAGCTTTGTTCTTTTTTTTCCACGTCAGCAAAGACAACAAATTCATCCTGTAACTAAAAACGAGCAACAGTTCGTCTGGATCTGCTTGCCTTTCTTCTTAAACCCAAACCTGCTGCAGTTTGGGTATCAGACAAAAATAATTTGTCCTATTTAACTGTTTTTTTATTGCAATAAATATTGAAGTTATGACCCAATGGTACAGAGCATAAATGCTGAAAAACTGACAAACACTCAAGCTGGTAAAAAGTCTTTAAAGTCAGCTGACTGAATTATCCTGGTGGTTTTTTGTTGCTACAAAAACAGGAAAAAGTATTTTAGTTATACGAGCTTGTATTTAACTGTTCGCCTCATTAATCTTTCTGTTCTTCTTCTGTGGTGCTGTTCGTACCCATCAAGGAGGCTTTGTGCTGCTATTTCGAGAACAATACAGCACAACACGCACCGAGTTCATCGCGCTCATCACCGGGATTATTTTAATGTTTGCTCATCAGCTGAAGCGTTACTGAACACACAGACACACTCTGTTCTCTGGGTGTGTGAACACTGAGCTCGACAAGCTCTCTCGCTGAAAACAACGTTACAGGGAAAGGTCGTGTTGTCAGCATTTCCCAAAGATAATAACAACGAATGAGAGCTGTTAGGCCTCAGCCACACAGGCCTAGAGATTGGACCGTCAGTCCTGGCAACCTCTGGCTGATGGGGAAAAATGTGTATCCCCAAACTGGTTGGCCGCCTTTATTATGAAACTAGTTATAAAGTTTGCATGTTCTCCCCCGTGTTTGCGTGGGTTCTCTCCGGGTACTCCGGCTTCCTCCCACCGTCCAAAGACTTGCACTTAGTGGGGATAGGTTAATTGGTTAATCCAAATTGCCCATAGGTGTGAATGTGCGAGTGAATGTCAGTGTGAATGGTTGTCTGTCCCTGTGTGTTGGCCCTGCGACAGACTGGCGACCTATCCAGGGTGTACCCCGCCTCTCGCCCTATGACAGCTGGGATAGGCTCCAGCGCCCCCCGCATCCCTGAAAAGGATAAGCGGACGCGAATGGATGGATGGATGGATGGATAGTTATAAAGAGTGCGCTGCACCAAAAATCTTGTTTCGATTGCTTTGGTTACGTGGATGACACCAAATAGTCTGCATTTCAAAAACATTTCAAAGGGGCACAACTCCTTGTATGGGTCGCTTCATACTTCTCACAGCTTCACGACCGCTTAGAGAGTAGTTGGCACGTTTTTGCAGACAAGTCGGCATCTTCCATGCAAACCACAGGCAACGACAGTAAAGCAATTACAAAGAGGTTTTTGTTGCAGCACCCTCTTTGCGCCCAATATCGGCATTTCCTTCTCTCTCTCTCTCCCTCTCTCTCTCTCATATTTTAAAGAGTATTCAAATGAAGAAGTATGAATTAAGTTGTGATGATGTTTCAGGCTGCCTTGTTGTCTGATAATGATCTAAACCTCCAAAATATTTCAAGTGTTACAACAAAGCACAGAACAGAAACTTTAAAAATAACAACATTAAATACATAAAGCTAATATGTCTGATTTGGTGTGGTGGGAAACTGCGATAATCCTCACAAGAAAGTACATCTTTAGATTCTGGACATTGCGAGTTCAGTCCGTCCTCTAAGATGGACTCCATTAAATGCTAAACTGAGCCCATCTGAGCAGTAGCAGATGGTCTCTCTGTGCTAATAAGTCGGTTTAAAAGGGTCAACACATTAAACCTTCAGCCCGAGGTCACTTATTGACGTGCTCTCATCGGTTAGAATGAAAGCAAGTGACCACCAGAGAGGAAGCTGCTGCTCAGACGTTGCAGTGAAGCAGGAAGTGTGCTTACTAGACAGAGTCACATCCTGAAAACACACAGGAAGATGAAGGGTGTGTTTGCATGAGACTGAATATACACACACAGAGTCACTAATGCAGATTAAGAGGAACCAGACAGCCTGTGGGCCTGTAAAGGCTGTAACTGTCTTCTGTGAAAAGGTGCTTTCAAAAACAGGTGAAATGTTCTCATTGCTTTAAAATTCCTAAAGGTTTCAATGCATATGAACAGAAAGGAGCTACTGTTAATATATTTAACCAGTGTGTCTGGATTTTACACATATAATGAAATAATGACACAGCAAGCTGCTTTTGATTGGCTAAAATGAAACATGGAAAATGGTATTAGGCTTCACAGCTTCAAGAAGCAAAGATGACTTCCAAAAACATTTCTGCTAATGCTTCTAGTCACTTAAAAATCTACCATCAGCTCTGAAAGTAAACTAAAAGTCCCCAGTGTGATCACAGAGAAAGTTAAGGTCTGTCACGTCAACGCAGCCGTATGGTGGCCAGGAGAAGTTCCCAAGGCGCCAATTCTGGAAAGTGCTTACAAGCGTGGACATCTGTCATAGGACTGTATGAAGGAGGAAGATGCTGATCTGATCTGAGGAATGAGTTGGATCAGAAAAATGACAAACCGACCCTCAAACAGCTGAAGCTCTCCCTCTCTATCAGCTTCCTACCCCTCGTCTCATGTTGATGTAAAAATTTGAAAACTATTGCTCTACAACATGTTACAACATTTAAAATCTGAGATAGCGAGCAGCTGGATGGTTTTTCATCCTATTGTTGCTTTTTTCCCTGTTTGTTGACATTTATGGCGATGATGTGCCCGATTTGTCTGTCCGAGGCACTGAAATCAAATAGCTTCTGATCTGTGTCCGTGTGAAAATCCCCACTGATGTCTTGCATAAGCACCTCTTCATAGTGAGCATTCCTGTTCAGTTTATTTATATTTTTGCTTCTACTTTAAAGTTAAATCAGTCTAAATATTCCCCAGTTTTAATCTTCTAACTCCCAGTGGAGTAACAAAGACATTACTACTTTCATGCCCTGTGTTTTGCTCATGTACTAACTTATATTACATGCTGTATTTTTGTTATTCTAAATAAAGGAAAAGTGAAATGTGTGTAGTTTAAGACAATCAGCAGCCTTGAGGGGAATAGAAATACTCTGAAACATTATGAATAAAAGTTTCGTTGCTAACTGGAGGTCTGGTAACCACAGTCACAGTCATGTCAGTTAGAGTCCCACTATTTTCACTTTTTGCCAGTGAACACGTGAGTAAATTCTTCTCTTTTGAGGCCTCTAAAAGTAAAACAGAAAGTACTCCACGTCTGACACCAGAGAAACGGTGCTCATCATTCATTATTCAGTTACATTATAGACCTTGTCTAGCTTCTACGACTGCCTCATTTTGTCTGAGTAATTGCTGCATGCTCCCAACTATCAGTGGCTTCGTACAAGGCTTTTGATTAATGCGAGGAACAGAAATATCAGCATGCCCAGCAGGTGTATTTATTAAGTACTTCAGCTAAATTTGCTCCATCTTCACCTCGCGTAGACTTGAGAGCTCTTTGAAAGTCAACAGCATAGATGGATCTGTGAAATCTAACCCCTTGTTCTCAGATGTCGAAGCTACCCGAAGGGTCCGACCCTGAATTCAATGGCCGCATTGTCCCAAAGAGGAGCGCTCACTTGTCACGGCTCTGACACCAAACACAGCGAGGCAATGACTGAACTGTTTGGACCCACCATTAATGCTATGAATGCACAGTTTAAACGGTTGATCAAGAGTTTTTGCTTTTAAAAAGTCTTTAAAGAAAGCATGGAAGTTGTTTTTGGTCATTTATTTGAGAAGATGGATTTTTTTTTTTTTAAACAGCTTACAGATTTCTTTGATTTAATGGTGGAAGAGTTAGATCAGAGGCAGCTGAACACGAGGAAAAAGGAACTCATGCTCCAGCAATGGTAATACAGATGAACTGGCTCTTTAAATAGCCCAGAAGGAGAGATAGTACTGTGTATCTAAGGGGGAACATCACCTATGTGAAACCTAACAGCATGATAATAAATAATTAGTAAATAATTCATTACTTCATTAGTTAATTACCAGATGTTTCTGTCTTGGTTCCCATGATTATCAAAAACAAAAATATTTGGGACAAAAAAAGTCAGAAAAAAGTTCAAAGTAAACGTGATCTCCAAGCAGCCTTAACCTCCTCGGACCTGGCGGCCACATATGTGGACATCACATTTTGGGTTGTGTAGACCAAAATACGAAATTTTGCTCTACGAGGGCCTGATATCAACTTACATTATACTGCCACTGTTCTATCAAAATTATAACGAATGTCTTCATATGTGGATCTCATTTATTTTAGGTTAAAAAATAAATAAATCTGCTAATTCTTTGTTTTTACATTCATCAGGTCCCAATCAGCCCAAATAGCAAAGAAAAATTAAAGCATGCCATGAATGAGTTTGGGTCTTAGGAGGTTAAGGAATATCAACACAGGAAGCAGCTAGCAGCAACATACAACAGAAAATGTCAATGACAACAAGCCACACAACCACTGACGACGCAAAGTGTGCGAAACCTTTTAAAACTTTTAAGCAAGCGACTAAAGAACAACCAATGAAAGTGAAGGATACAGTGGCAGTGAGAGAGTGGTATTACGGTTAGCCAGGCAAGTGGAACCTGGGATGCTCTTTAGCGACCAACTACCAGCTACTAACTGATGTGTGATGAGAAAATCTCTGTATATGTAGAAGCAGCTTTGGTGCTTTGTAGTGTTTGTTCTTACCTGATGTGTCCCACGAGCTCGATGAACTTGTGGCTGGTGAAATACGCAGCGAGCTCTGAGATGTGGCTGAGGACGGAGCAGACCCCAAAGAGCGTGGTGGTCCCGCCCAGGTCCTCCAAGTGCCAGTACAGGAAGCTGAAGACGAAGCCGTAGCCAAAGCCCATGAACCAGGCGACAAAGAGGACGGAGCTGTAGCGCACGCTGCATAACAGCTTGAGGAGGTCACTGTAGTGGAACTCCTGGGTGGTGTTGGGGTTGCTGGGGGTCTGCTCTGAAGTGACTGACTCCCTGTCAGTGTTCGCCGAGTCCTCCACCACCTCTGGAACTTCCTGCTGGTATTCACCGCCTTTCTCAAAGTAAAACTGAGTGGCCACAATCAACGCCACACCCATCAGAACACCAAAGACAATGAAGGCGAGCTGGTAGTTGTGAAGGCGAAAATCTGGCACAGCGCAACCAGTGCCTTCAATCGCCACGGTGATATGAGTGTGGTCAATCCAGATGCCCACCAGCAGCATTGCCAGACCCCAACCCAGAGAGCCCCACATCCTCTGCAGGCCGTAGCGGTCGCGGGCTTTACCAAGATACTGCAGGGTCACCGTGTCCACGATGGTGACGGCGGGAGCGCTGAAGAACTCGCCCACGATGATGACAAGCAGGATGAGCAGGAAGATGGACTCCACCTGGTCAATGTTGTAGATGATATGGTACTCTTTCTCAGGTGCTGGAGCAGAACTGGTGGTGGTCTGCAGAGTGGTGTTTGGTACGAGCTGGGTGGTGTTTAGTAAATTAAATGGAGAGTATGTTGTGGTTATGCTGGCATCCACACTACGTTCTAGCCTGTGGAGCACGTGGGAATGCTCCACATGCAGCTCCAGTACGTTTCGCCGACTTCTGGTGTGGTTGGTGGAGTTGCTTGGTTGTGTTACATTATCCTGAGGCTGGACCGTTACCACGGGTGTAAGCGGCGTGGAAGCTCCCTTTTCCTCACATATCATTTCCGCAGGTTTGACAAACCCGATGCCGCAGTTGAACATTAACCAGCACAGAACGGAAAACAGCAGCACAACTTTTCCTTTCTTGAAACGGTCCGCCACCACACCCCAGAAGGGGGCGCTGCAAAATTCAATGAAGTAGCGGATGCCGACGAGCAGCCCGCTGCGGCTGGCTGACATGCCGAGCTGCTTGTAATACACGGCCAGCAGGGGGTGCAGCGAGCCGTAGGCGGCATAGAAAAAGAAATAGAAGACTTTGGAGATGAGGAGGTGGCTGTTGATGCGGAGGCACGTCCTCTCGCAGCAGTCCATGGAATTTGGCTGTGAGGCCGCCACTGCTGCCACCTGATCACGTGCCATGTCAGAGCCGGGTCCTGGTGGCGCTGTGACATCCTCTTGCTGGGCCATGGAGAGGGTGTTGAATGGCTCAGCGAGGACATACTTCCTCTTCTGCTCCTCCTCCTCATCTGTCAGGATGGCAACCTTGTCGTCGGCTGGCATATCTGGAAGATAAGGAAATGAGGGTTAGAGCAACGCCAGAGTAACCAAATGAGGCTAAATTTATCCTGTAACTACTTCACTGTGAGACATCATTAGTAGTTTTCTGCTAAAATATAAGTTATACCAGAAATCTGCTAATAACACCCAGAAATAACCTGAAAGATTAAGAGAAATGTTTTAATATTAAATATTTTTAAAACAGAAAAAGAACATTTGTGGATAACTTGTTTGACTACGAGAGAAAACAATAAAAAGAGCAAACCTTGATCACGACATGTCTTTGTATTTCTGTGAAAGGGCAGAGTTCTCTGGACACTTTCCAAAAACAATACTTGTCTGACTGTGGCCAAAATCAAACAACCGGTATAAATAGATCTGCCTCTGGAGGAACATTTAGGCAGTTCTGAATACTGTAGACAAGCTGCTTTAAAAAAACCATCTATTCAGAGTGGCATTATGGAATATTAATTTAAGGATTACGTCTTAAACAGAGCTCCTAACCTGAACCTATGTTGGGTAATATAAGCCAGATTATGGCTGCCCTCTGCCACCCCTGTACACCATCACCAGGTCCTCCTGTCTCGGGAAAGCCAGGACCATCAGAGGTAACCCCTGCACCCCACCCACCACCTGTTTGACCGGTTGCCCTTTGGTAGTCAATCAGGTCCCACACCTCCAGACTCACAAACAGCTCCTTCCCCTAAGACGTTTGGACTGTCAGCTAACACCGCACCCCATCCCTGCACACTCACCTCACCAGCCATGGTCTGAGTAGCCCTCATCATTCAGACCACTAACAAATGGACTCTATACTCAGACCAAGTCCTTTGCACTACTGCTATGCTCTTTGTTCTCTAACATGTAGTCATTTTTGATCTACACCTGGTGTCAAATACAACCAAATGGTTAAAAGCTGTCAAGTAATCTGGTTCCAGATGGGACAAAAGTCTCACAGAATCTGAATTTGAAACTCTCCTGGATGTTTTCTTGATTACATAATCTATAGATTATGTAATCTATAGATTAAAAGAGTCTAGATCTAGTCTAATGTGGTCCAGGAGCCAAAAGAAAAAAAAAAACTCTTTAATCACATGTTTTGTGTTACAGACATGTCAAACTGTTTTTCAAAACATTTATTGAAACGGTTTGGTAATGAATGATTAGAACAGTACCAAGGTACATGGTACATGGTCTAGACATGGTGTCATGAGGTCTACATGCTAGAAAAACTGTGAATCCAAGCATTCAGAGGTAGAATAAAAGGTTCAAATAGTCTCATTCTGTGTTTTAAATGGCCCTGACGGGTGCTAGGTAATATAATCCATACTAGAAGGGGCTAAATGTGTAGAGTATTGTTCAAATTGGTAAAAAGCAAAGAAATCATCATATTTCTGTGTCACAGTATTCACATATATTAAAACAATCTGTACACTCTCCCATGTCCAAATTAAATCAGTCTAAATGGACGAGTTCCTGGTACTATAATGCGACCTGTGTAACGTCAGTGTTTGTGGATGTACTTTGAAGGTGCTGATATTTTGTTTTTATACAAAGACGGCCAGGTTAGACTCCCTGACGGTCCCTAAGCCTTACTTTGAGATCCACTTGTGTATCGTGACAACAATAAAACTGAAAGCTGAGCAGCAGTCACCAATACAGATATTTCAGCAAACATACGACCTCTGGAGGTCCTCAGATCTCAGTTTGTAAGCCGTCCATCTATCAGTGATGGTCTCCGCGGAAGTGTCAGACATGTTAAACAAAACTACGGGTTATCTAAATTGTATAAAACAAACCAAAGTCGGAATGTTTAAGGGGTAATTTAAGGAAGTGCTAAGGAAGTGCTGGCGCTCATTTAAACCCGGTTAAACACAAAGGAAGTGTCTCCGAACGTCAGGATTTCTACCATGTAACCTAAATTAAACGTTTTAAACATGTATTTCACGAGACTTAATTTAAAATAAAGGACAAATTTAACGACAACGCAAACTAATGTTCTTACCTGCTCAGGTCACCGCTCCCATTAAACTATGACTGCGCAGTTTCTCTTCAATTTTCTCTCTTCTCCTGCGGACATTTTTCACAAAAAACGTTCAAACTACCGCTTTTATTTTCTGTAAAATATTTATAGTCTCCGACATAAGTTCATGTTTTAATTCGGGGGGAATTTCAGGTCTTTCTCGTCTCCGCCTGTCTTTGTATTGAGAACAACGGCAGCTCGTCAAACCGGAGCTTCCACCTGTCCAGAAAACAGAGACGCCGCGGTCAAGCCCGCCATTGGGACCGCTACGACAACAGGCCGAGACTTCCAAAATAAAGCTCATGCGTATGCGCTACCTTATTCAGTTTTATTAAATTGTGTTTATTTTTAAATTATTGAATAGTTTGGAGTAATTCCTCTCAGAAATATAAAATAATAACCTTTAAATTAAATTTCACAATTAAATGAAAGACTGAATAAAGTTCATTTTTGTTTTTCTATAATTTACTGTTTGTTTTGTTTTTGAATCATTAAGTCTAAAAAATGCTGTAATCTGTTCAAGGAACACATAATAAAATGTTACCATAAGCACATTGGTACAGTATTTAGAAATAAGGGGAAAACAGTTTAAAATTAGAAATTAAACATTTCTTAGTGGATCTTGGGGAAGGAATTGTTTTAGAAAAGTTAACATGTTCGGTTTTAGAAAGTTTAAAAAAAAACATTTGTTCATTTCATTTAACAAAAATGTTGCTACTTTTGTGTGTTTTGTGAGCCTACTTTTTTCAAAGCTGATGGCACCGTTGTGCTTTTAAGTTTTCGTCACATCCGGTAGTTGCCAGGTGTAAATTCTGGCAACTTGATACCACAAAGCGACTCCGCCTAAACGTCTCCAGTGCCTCAATTAAAGGGGAAAGTGCCATTAATCGCAGTCAAAACATACAAAAACACAGCAATAATTCATTTTTAAAGAGACACAGGCAGTTCAAAATGACTGTAGGACTCCCTGAAGGCTTATTAGTCTACAACAATAAAACATTTTTCACCATAAGGAGCATTTTGCATCTTTCTTATGATCAATATCAAATTATTATCCAATAATCATACATAAACTCTCTTGTTTAATGCACTCATGCCCAGTTTTAGAGGAGCTGTAATCAAACCTTCCTCTTTAAGAGGCTTCATATTATAATTTAGCTGTAAAGATCATGAACTGTGTAAACTGGCTCTATTGTTAAGTCAGAAATGTTCCTTCATGATCACCATCAAGTCTGAAAGGTGTCATGTCGTTTTCCATTTTTCTTTGTGACAGAAATTAATTGGTTCAAACACCGTGACAATCAATGAGATGGAAAGGACTTTATTTGTACACCTTCTTTGCTTTACAGAACAAACAGAGCAAATGCAGAAGAGCATAATTCATGCCGTATTTAACAAAGGTGTAAAGACAGGTGGGTGAGGACTGCTGGCTTTAAATACAAGAGCAATGAGAGTTCCTGGAAGGCATCATAAAGTTACATCACCAGGAAGCCACACACTCCACCCAGCCGCTTGAAGTAAATAACGTCTCATGTCACACAGTCATTTTCAGAGCAGTAAAAATCTGTACCTGAGGAGCTGTAGTCATACACACTCATGATTATTGATTTAAAGAACACTGCAACTTTTTAAGAAGTGGTTTGTTTTTTTGTTTTTTTGTTTATACAAGGGGTTCCTTGAACTTTAAATGTGATTGGATGAATGGAGGAGGAGGTGATGGGAAAACAGAGGTGCAGGAGAGGGATTTGGACCCAGAACAAGCATCAGTCTCAGGTGCTGAACACACAGGGCACGATTTTAGGAACTGCATCCAGACAGAATGAGGCTACCTTTATCTACTGTTAACTCCAGGTGGCCACTGACTATATTCCTGATACCTCAAAACTCGGGAGTGATGTTCCAGATGAAGCTAGTTTCTGTTGTTTTGGTTCTTTGCCATCTTTGTCATTTAGATATCACTAAAAATACATCACTATAGTGGCAGTACAGATGAAAAGTTTACAGCTTAACTACTGTTTACGTTCAGTGCCGCCATCTCTGATTGCTTTTTTTTTTCCTTGGTTAATGGCCATACCAAGCTTAAGGCCATACCACTGTGAGCACACCTGATTTCATCTGATCTCAGAAGCTAAACAGGGTCAGGCCTGGTTAGTACTTGGAAGGGAGCCATCTCTGATTGCTAACTCGGAGGATGTTGGTCTGCTCCAACTTTCCGAGTGGGAAATCCAAGTTGAGGGGATGTTCCACAAAAAATTTCCAATTAGGAACTTGGAATTTCTGACTTCCAACTAATTCAGGAGCCCGGTATAAGCCCCAGCACACATAAAGACCCCCGCATGGGCACCATACAGCCAGCAGCTGCAACCATTGGAGTGAGAGTGTGTGTGCAAATGTTAGACAAGGTGCTTAGGCATAGAAAAAAGCACCTGTATGACTGTGTGCGTAGTGTGGTGAATGAGGCTTGTGGTAAGAAAACACTTTGAGTGCTTAACTAGAAAGCAGTCTATGACTACCGGTCCAAACAAATGGCAAAGGACATGCCTCTTTGAAGAAAGGTTGATTGACTGGTACTTAAATAGTGCTTTCTACTCTATTTGGGCAGTCAAAGTACTTTCTTAGTGAAAGCCTCATTCATGCATTCACACATGCGCTAAGCTAACAGTCAAATAGGTGCACTTCAGAGTTCAGCATCTTACCCGATCTACTTCAACATGCAGACTACAGGAACTGTGTATGGAACGGGCAACCTTCACGATTAGCTGTTAGCCCACTCTACCTTGTGACCCACAACCACTACCACAACAACAACAGTAGTAGAAAAAATGGGCTTTGTTTGGTGAAGTCCTGTGAAAGCTCCAGCAACAGGAGATTGAGGACAATTTTGTCTAGCCTTTCATGCTCTTGAAACTGCTGCAGAAAAGATAGACTGTAATGGATTATCTCTAATATAGCTGTCAGTCAACTGGACCTTTTGATTGTGCTTATGCTATTGGTGCCTTTTGGAGCATTTTAATGCAATGATCTATTATATATATATTGCTAAATGTTTGTGGAAATCACTTCTGTTCTCTGTGTGTCTGCAGGCTTACCCGCTGGCTGGTTTTTGTATAAATCTATCCTTGAGCTGGTTCCCTCTTATCTGTGTGTATACATGTGTAATCAGCAACCTTCCCTTCAGTCATAACAGACATGCTTTAAAGGGCGTTTTGGGAGTTTTTCTGGGAGGGAACCCTCCAAAGCTGGGAGGAGACCGTGGGGAAGAACATTACTTGTTTCAGATCATCAAATACATTTAAATAATAGACAAAGATAACCCAAGTATGAGCATCTACCCCCCCC